TCAATATAGACATTGTTCAATTGGTATTTTTTTGCCGATTTCGTTATTCAATGAACTGATGTAGTTATCGAGTGTTTGTAAAAGGGACACTTTTATTGCGATATTTATTTTGTTTTTCTTTCCAAAAAAAGTGAACAAACGTGAGTAAATAATAGGTGAGAAAATGTACAAGCAAGACATTTCATTTGAAGGGAGCTTGTTATAATGCATAATTGAACTAAAGAAATAATCAAATAATGTATAAAAGGAGATTACTAAGATTATTAGTTAATAAAATTGATCTGAATATGAGGTATCTTTTGTTTATGCTTTATATTTATTTATTTAAATCTTATAATTTCAATTAGTTTGTTATCTGTTGACAATAATAAGAAAAAATTTTGTTATACTCGAAGTATGTTAATTTCGTTGACTGAAAAGTGTCTCTGCTTTTTTAGAAATCAAATTATGTATAGATCAAATATTTGATTTTGTAAAAGAAATCTCAATAATAATAAATCAATTAATTAATCAACCATATATTTCTTTTCTCATTAGACTTTCAATGAAAGAATTTTGATAAAGATGTGTTAACGTTCTATGCGTGTAAAAGAATTTTCGTAAGAACCACATGTTAAGAAGTATAAGTGAATCTTTGAAAAGTAGAAGAAAAATTTGATCTAATTGATATTTAAAGAAAATTGCAAATGTTCCCCTATGAAATGATATCCTTCTCGTTACTTTTATGAGAAGTTTTTATCAATAAAAAGGCTTATAATAAAAGATTTATTGACATATTTATATTTGATATATATGATAGAATTCAGATTGATGTTGATACTTAAAGAATATTTGTGTAAAGTTTTTTGTTTAAAATATCAAGTAACTTCTCCCGATTATAATGTATTAAACAATGAGTCTTTTGATAAGATTCATAAACAATTTTTCTTTATGTTGTAATATTTATTCAAATTTAATTTATATTTCTTTTTTCAAATGACCTCAGTTCAATTCAAATAGTCATTAGTCCAGAAATCTTACTCATATGAACTGCTGATCGCAAGATTCAATTAGTATGATTAGGTACAACAGATCAGACATCATATGATCATGGTTACATAAAAGGAAAATAATTTTTGAATTTTTATATCAAGACAGACGAACTCTTTGCCAGTATTTTCATATGAAGAAATCCAATATGATTTTTTTTATATTAACCTCTTTGTATATCTGGTGTGTCTATTATTTATTTGATTAAATTAGTAAATTGAATGAAGACATTAATAATTGTTTTCTTATTCAAACGATTAATGTTGAAAACTCGGTATTGTAATCAATTTAAATTAAATAGTCTGGTTGCTTTGCCTTTTATTTTGAAGAAAGTTCGTTTCCAGAAAAAAGTGCATTTTGATCAGAGATTTCTCTTTAGGTTCTCTAATAGCGTAGAGCTAAGTTCAAATTTGGATGTGGGTGTATATAAAGAGAAGACCCCTACCCACATCTACACACCCACACACTTCACAAAAATTTCTTCAAAAGAAAATTTTTATCAAGATCAAATAACAGGAAAGTTAGAAGCTGTTGGAGATACAGTAGAACGATTTCATTTTATTTTACATCCAAAAGATGAACAAAATTTAATTCGTGAAGAACAAGATAAAGGAAAAGAATTATATTCACTTTTAGTTCAATTTGAAATTATTCAAGGAGATACAATAAGAAAAATATTTCGAAATAATTCACAAGAACGAGATAAAATAGAAAAGAGAATTCGAAATGATCTTGATCCTTCGATTGCCGATCCATTAATTAGTTTATTAAATAGTAAATCTTATTTTGAAAAAAAAAGATTTCGACGATATTGTTTGTTATAGTGAAGTATTATGGCAAATTTTAAATATAAATAAAATAGAAAAAGAATTACCACGGATATATGAAAATGTTTGGAAAGATTTAGAAGATAAAATAGATCCACAACAAGTTAATATTTCTCTATTTGAAGAATCAATAGAAAGGAAAATATGCGAAAATTAAATTTAATGGGAATGGTCATGAAACAAAAGATCTTAAAATATTTTTAATAGAATTAAAAGATAATATTAGTCAACAAAATCAATATTTTTATCAAACAGATTTACCATTTACTATTAAAGAAGAAGAAGGAAATAATATTCGAATTTATCTAAAAGAAAAAAATATTTTAAAGTCTGGTGGACTTGCTAAATATAAATATGTAGATATTAAAAGAAATATTGAAAGAATTTTAAAAAATATTCAATTTGAAAATGATAAAGAATTAATTTTGTCGAAAATTTTGTCTTTACAAGGAGATATTCGTTCATTTGAAAAAGGTTTAAAAGCTAATTTAAAAGATTTTATAGATCTTCAAGATCAAGAAAATGTTCCAAGTGAATTAAGATTTTTTTGAAGGTTTTAATCTTAATAAATTTTTGATTATTGAAGAAGATAAATCTTGGTGGGATTGGAATGCTTTTGCCGTTGCAATGATAGGGCTTGTTCAAGTCATTGCCGAAGCTGTTTTAGTAGCCTTTGGTTTGACTCAGATAGGCAATGCTTTAATATCAGGTATTTTTAGTTGGAAAGAATGGGCAATACAAAAAGCAATTAGCTTCGGTCTCTCTATGTTGACTGTTGGAATTGGAAAGTTTTTGACGGATAAAATTATGGAACAGATTCAAGAAAATGTTTATACAAAAGATTGTTAGTAAAATAGAAGAACATTTATTAAAAGAAATAATCGGTTTAATAAATAATAAAGTAGAAACCTCTTTATCTTCAAAGTAAAAATGAAGAAGAGTTCGAAAAATCTTTTGAAGAATTGAAAAAACATATTAGAAAAAAACATTAGGAAAAGATATTTTATTACCTCAACAATTTGATAATATTCGAACACGAGTTGTATCTTCTTTAAGAAATAGTTATCCTCTATTTGCTGATGGTCTAAAGAAATCAAATTCAAAATACGTTAAAATGGCTGCTACTACTCTTAAAGCAATAGATATCATTAATAAGTTGTGGACTGTAGTTCAATCTGTCTTACAGTTCGAACATGTCTTTATAATACTTTAAAAGATATTATTGACGGTACTACCAAAGAAAATCAGAATATTTATAGAAAAAAACATTAATCAGAACCTTGTCGAAACAAGAGCAGAACAATTGAATAAAATCATTAGAGAATATATATATCAACTAAATTAACAAAAGAATTAGATAAAGTAGTAAGACAAGCTATTAATGGAACATTAAAGCAGATTGGAAACACCATTGTACAAGGAATAAAGACAATGGTTGATTCACAATGTAATGGAAAAAAAATCCAGCTAATATATTGAAACAATCGAATCAAAATAGACAAAATCATGCAGAAGGTCAAATTGCTGTTGAACAATCTCCGATAAATCAAGATTCAAAGAAAGAACAACAAGATCGAGCGAAAAGAGAAGATCTACAAAATAATATTAGAAATCCAAAACAAATTACTGCAAGTTATTTGAGAGAAGCAAAAGATAAAGATAGAGCTTTAGGTCTAGCTGATATAAAAATGTTAGCAGATCGTAAAAGAAGAAAAATAACTGTTTACAATTCAGATACTGACGAAAAAGAAATAATAAATCCTTCAGGAGTGGACATGTGCGGGACCAACTTTTTTTGGTCCCGGTCCCGGTCGCGGTCCCGGTGAAATTGAATTTTGGTCCCGGTCCGGTCCCGGTCCTTGTAAACTTTTTTTGGTCCCGGTTTGGGCCCCGGTGAAAATTTTCATTTGGTCCCGGTCCCGGTCCCGGTCCCGGTGGAAATTTTCCTTTTGCTGCTGATTCCGGTGAAATTCTGCTTTTTAGTCCTGGGCTCAGTTAGCACATTCGCTACGATGTGGCCTAACAGTGAGCCACGCTACATTTTAACGAGAAACTGTATAGAAAAGTACTTTATTTTTCTTTGTTCTTAGACAGGAGGCTGAACATAATGCTTTATCTGTTCTGCCTTCAGAACTCTTTTTGAGTCCGTTATTCCATAGCATGATGGGTCTTGTTAAAAAAATCAAGACAAAAAAAATTGTCACTCACAACAGAACGTTTTTACTTTCTTTGCTACCGCATAGCTCGCTTCTCTTGACTGTTGTGCCCTTCCTTTCGCAAAGCAGCCAGTACAGCGTCTGCGGACATTGCCCTTAAACCCTTCCTTTTCTTCGAGCTTGCGATTAGTGAATTCGCGCTTGAATTGGGTTGCCGATTCAACTTCTCGAATGGCATGTCATGCTGAAATGACCTCACAGGA